CTAGAAATCACTGGCAGGGCCAGTAGATCTTGCGCGCGCGCACGTTTGCGCGCGCGTGAACAGGTCCCTGGGGCGTTGTTTTAAGCCATGCATGCCTGCCGTGTTAAGCAAGCGCCGTGTCATCACCATCACCCTGAGGGATGGCTACGCAGATAATTTTGTTTGCAATTTGCAAAGGTGGGGGGAGCTGCGTCCCCGCCACACACCACCGCCTTTTTGTTCAAGGCCGTCCACGCTTGACCACTGTTCGCCATTTTGGACCATTTCATCATTCTTTCCATGATGTTCATCATTTTCCTCCATTTTTGATACTTATCACAAACATGATGTTGCATCATTTTCTATCGTCTTTCAGCAGTTTCATGTTTTGCCATATTTTTTCTTTCTTCATGATTTTTTCATGATTCGCATGAATGCTCATAATTCTTCACATTTTTTGACGATGCTTCATGATTTCTAGTCACGTTTCATCATTTGAATGTAAAATCGAGCTCCCGCCTGAGAGCTTCTAAACAAACAAGAGAAAAAATTGAATTTTGCGCCCCAGGACATTAAAGTGCTACAGCTCGAGATAGAGGTCGCAGTCGACGTGCCGGACCTGGACTTTTCTGGATGTTGCAGTTACAAGTAGGGACGGCTCGAGCCACGACTTTTAACTGAAAGCATCTTGGCACGCAGCAGCCCTGCAAGCTTGTCGAGTCTAGATCGTTTGGACCAGATGCTGATGTTGCTCAAAAAGCTGTTGCCAACCTGGACACCCAAGTGTCGCAACACTTGTAGCATTTGCGCCAGCAACAAAGAACCTTTGATCAAATTAGGTCGAACAGGTAGTCCACAAGCTAACGCGTTGTCCAACACGTCAACTCGTTGAGGGAGGGGGTCTCTCTCACTTCTTCACAAGTCCCATGGAATGGCGTCCGATGCCTCGGAGTCTTTCAGCTCGGTGTTCGTTCCGCTCCTGGATAAGAATCTCGGCTTAATTGTGTCACTTGCAACGAAAAGTGTAGCAGCATGTCTTGATCAAGATTTCTTGTGCTGAAGCATATTTTCTGTTCTGTGATCAAGGTGTGCGGCAGTCACTGCGGTGCTGCTGGCGGCATGGGCATATGCAGACAGAGCAGCTTCATTCTGGACATTGCCTCCCGGTTCTATAAGTCCTTGACGTATGCAAGTCTGTCTGAATGGAATCTCTTCGGCGCGTGCAAGAGGTTTTTGCTTCTTGCGGCCTGCAAGCTTTGGTGGCAGCGAGCAGCTCCCTCGAAGGGTCGGAGACCAGAGAGGCGGACGTAATTAGCAAACCATTGCCCGCTGGACGCGGATATGATCTTGTAGACAGACTTCCAGTTGCGTTGACTCCAGGAACCACGTGCGCGAGCGACTGCACGAGTCAGACGAGGCGCAAAGAGCACATGCCGCGGATGTCCAGGGATAGATGAATGGGTTTCATGGTGGGAGTCTATAGTGGGCTCTGCATCCGTTCGGAGGACAGGGCTAAGTTGGCATCGCTCTCGCACAGGACCTGGATGCAGCCCGCCTGGCGGGGGTGCCGGCAGAGCAGCTTGACAGCAGTGGTTAGAAGATATCTGGAGAGCAGGAGCTTGTGAGACTGTGCTGATTGTTCAAGGCACGTGGCCCAAGTAGTCGAACTTGGGCGCCGAATATCAGCCCGGGGGCGTGAGCCTCTCTGCGACCCGCGTCTTGCCATGCAGAGAGTTGCGGCAAAGATAGCAAGATGGTCTTCCAAATTCAGGGCCGCTTGCTGGATGACACTTGAAACTTGAGCAGTTTGACCAAGGCTGATGTTGTTGCGACGCTGGCTTGCACTTGAGGTGAGGATAGCAGAGCTGCGGATAGGGCCCCCTCCTTGAACTGAGACCAGGTCGAGGTCATACTTGCACCAAGGATTCCTCAAGGCCCGGGAGCTGGATGTTGCAGCTGCTGCAGCTATGTACCGGGAAACTGTCAAATGGCGCGCGGCTTTCTCCATCCAATCGGTTGCTGCCTGAGTAGCCAGCTGATCTACTTGAACTGTGGAGGTTGGCTGAAGACTTGTGGAACTTGTACGTAGCAGCAACCCGGCAATGAAGCGCAACACGACCGGCCCTGCACCATCACAGTGGTTGGCAGTACGTATTATCATGGACGCTTATCCGTGATGCTGATCTTCCCCTGCTTGCCCTGCTGTTTTGTTGGTATGAACCTGCCACACACGTCCCTGAAATTGCTCCAAACTCTGTGTTGAAGGGTTCGCCTGTCGATTGACAAAGGGTTGCTGGAAACAAGAAGACCATGCCGGGCGGACATGTGCGGGGACAGGAACCGCACAAGATTTCAAAGGATGACAGCGCGCCTTGCTTGGCATGCCTTACGATGTCGAGCAGAACAAGCCCACGTTCGAATTCCATTGACAGACTTAACGCACCCACATGCCGGTGTTTGCTGCTGTGTGCAAGCATCTGCTAGTGTGGAAATTCGCATGGCATTCCCACCAGGCGTGTTGACTGCGCAGTCAGGTGATGATGATATTTGGAACCGGCGAGCCGTACACCGCAGATGGAAATCGCGCGGCTCCAGATGCGACATGCTGGCGTTGGCATCCAGAGCTGCATTCGCGTGAAGCCTCACTGGCGAAGAAGTATGGTCTTGTAGCTGCAAGTAAGCCATCAATTGATGTTACAAATGCAGTGGCAATGTTGGTCTCAGCATTGCAGCAATCCGCCATGAGGTTTTTTCGGCCGCCTTTGCAGGCATGGCCCTGGCGGCGAGCCCATTGCAATATGGCGATTGGGCGCCGCTGATCTGGATGGGCACCTTCCCTTCCAATTCTCATACTTGCAAGCAGTGTTTGTTCTCCGGGTAGCGAAAACATACGGGACACGCATAATAAAGGATGTGACATTCGAAAACAAGGTGTGTCTGTTGCGCAGAAGCCCGCAGAAGCGGTTCAGTCGCGGAGTAGGAGTAGTAGTAGTAGTAGTAGCAGTAGTAGTAGTAGTAGTAGCAGTAGCAGTAGCATAAGATATGCGCTGACAGCAGCCGGCTCTAAGGGCTGCCGGATACGCAGGATCACTAATTACTTGTGATTGCGCCTCGAGAGAGAGAGAGTAGTAGCAGTAGCATTACTTGTACTAGTACTTGTACTAGTACTAGTCGTAGCAGTAGCAGTAGTAGCAGCAGTGGTAGCAGCAGCAGTAGTAGTGGTACGGCCCCCATCGTTTGCCCACCAAAAGTTGCTTGCTCGTCTCATATACGTGCCGCAACAGATGCAAAACCTTAGCTGGAGTTTGTGGACTCCGGTTCGTGCAGGCGGTCGCGTCTGCAGACAATCCAGCCCGTAAAATCCATTAAGGCTTGGCATTCTTACAAACCGTGCATCCCTGCAGGAGTTTTTGCAAGACCCATTTGAATCTGTTCGGGTCTGCACCCCCTCTAACCCCCTTGCCTTTTCAGCCATGCAACCCGACAGGACTTGTTGCAAGACCCGGATGCCATATGCATCTTTTAAAAACCTGGGCTGTAAGCCTCCTGTTTGCAAATGGAAGCCGTGCAACCTTGCAGGAACTGTTGCAAGACCTAATGAATCCTTTGAACGCTACAAGCCTTGTCTTTGCAACTGGGTGGGGCTGAGACCCCCCCTGCCCCCGCCTTTTTATCAGCCGCGCAACCCTGCAGGAACTGCTGCCATATGAAGTTTTCCTAATTTTTCAGGACCTGGCAAGGGTGCTGCGCGCCTCCCCATGCGCCTCCATCCAACCTCTCCGCCTCTTTTCAACCGCGTAAACCTGCAGGAAGTGTCGTACGACTCAATTCAAGCCCTGCGTTTGCAGATGGGGGGCGCGCCCTGCAATTTGCGCGCCTGTTTTAAGCGGTGGACGCCTGCTTTCAAGAGCAACATAATTCCCAGCAACAGGAATCGCTGCAAGACCCATATGAATACGGAGTAGCCATCAAGAAAAATAAATAGATCTCAGGAAGGTAAATACACATCAAAAAGTGACTTATGGCATAGCGGTTTGAGCTGTTTAAACATCATTATCGATTCTTTTAGTGCTCTTATCCTTGATTCGCATTATTCAAAGTGTCACCTTAAAGGTTACCATATTATCACTATTCATTTTTATTTGATTCTTATGATTGTATTATTGTTTGTGAATATCATTCCTGGTGTTACGGTTGTGCTTTCTCTTTATATCATACTATTGCCTATTGCTTTAGCTTTTATTATCATTATCAGTGCTATTGCTACTATTGCTGTTGCCTTACTTTTGTTATTATTGCTCCTAGCAAAGATTCTTCTAAGGTCATGTTAATTTTTCATTCCTACAACTAGTACATGCATTGTTATAGAACATGAATACCGTATTTTTGTTTTTTTTCCCTGTATTTCTTTATTCTTTGTTCTCATAACTACCAAAAGCTGTGAGTAGAGTGTCCGCACATTTTGCCTTGAAATTGAGCTCTTGCGAGAAGCGCATTTGCAACTTTGATGAAAAAATCCACCAGCATCAACAAGTGTATTCGCGGAAGGTGAACGGAAGGACTCGCGGAAGTTGCTTGTTATTGAAAAAAAGCAATAGGAAATACACACCCCGGCTCATGTCATCTTTTGATTGAGAAGACGACAGCTACAAGGGAGCGGTTTAATTGAGGCAAGGAGCACCCACAGTAGGAGAAAGAGAGCCCGGGAAAGTGAGCACAAGCATTGGCAGCTTCCAAGGTACGTTCGCGAGGACTCCAACGATCCCTTGCTATGCGTAGTTTCGAGATCGGGGAGCTCCATCCTTGTTTCTAAAGATGTGGCATCCTTAAAATCAACAGCAAATTCAAAGCGCCGCACGGAAAGCCAGGACCTGGTGTCAGCCATCACTCGCGGCTTCGTGTCCCACCTGGAGGACTGGCTCAGCTCATGGAACTGCACGCTGCGCTGTGCTGTAACTCCTTTGCTTCCAACTTTCGAGTGGCAAGAGGATTTGCTTCAGTGCGGCCGTGCAGAGTCCCTGCGTGGCAGCCTTGGTTTGTTTTTGGTTTTGATCCGCTAGGTTTTCCTGACCTGCAGCAGAGCCGGGCAGTACTGCATCATTGCAGGCCATCATGCTTTAGTGGAAGGGTGGTTGCAGAACTGGCCTTTTCTCCTTTGATCGGGCTCTGAATCAATTTGGACACACCGCGCGCCAGCCATGGATGAAACATCTGTTCCTACTGCGCCCTGGCAGCGCCCAGACCCGCATCAAAGCGAACCGAGAACTTGGAGTGCCCCTTGGCAGTTGCCGTCTTTAAAAGTAAAACTGACAGCCCACTCGGCAGTTTCCGAAAACAGGGCTGCACTTCAAGATGCAGGTGCCATGCAAGAAAGGGGTTCCAGAGAAGAGCTTAACAAAGAGCCACAAACTTCGAGCACTCCATACCAGCCTGAGGTGACAATATCCAGTCTTGGAAGAGCAGGCCACTGGCAACAAGCATTGGGCTTCTGGGCCGAGGTACGAGTGGTTGAAAGTCGAAGATGAAATCACCTCGGCTACATGTCACAGTGGCAAGGGAGGCAATGGTTGGCGGTCACTCTCTATTCTTTGGTCATGTGCCAGGTCCGGG